TTCAGAGTGAAAAGTTTTCAATTTACGGTTTTCTCGGTAATTAAAATAAACCTTGAATAGCAAGCTTTCAGACAAAAAAGAAAATTCAAAGACTGGGTAAATATTCACCGAGAAAATGGACGCATTCGTTTTCCACGAAAAGTAAAAGATTTTTCTATCGATTGACAGCGAAATTAAGTGATGTTTTCGTACAACTATATAGTCGCTAGATGGGGAACTTTGAAGAGCTACAAGTCAAAGGCGATTTGTCCGAAATCAGTTAAATTTGGTCAGTTGAAAGATTACCGCATCGCCAACAAAAGCATGTTGGGGAATTTGGCAATTCTAAGAATTATTTCATTAAGAGTCACTCTTGTGCAGTCACTCCGGCGTTTTACAGCTATTTTGAAAATTTTCTGTTACTTTGGAATGTAATAGAACTCAAGTTAGGAAAACTCCGACCTAACCTCGCGAAAAAAGTAAAATTCCAAAATATAAAAATCGTGTTGAGTTAAAACTTATGAAAGATGATTTATACCTTCCCGTTTAAAGTTCTCGGGGAATTTGATTATTCACTCTCCGGAAAACCGAATAAAGTATTAAATAGTCGAACAGATCTATAATATTAAATTTGATATGGGTTTAGGAAACTATCTGAGATGTATTCGTGAGGCGTTACATCTGTTGGACTGGAGACACCCCTGAAGGTACTCGGGAACCTAAATTTCCTTAGAGTTCCCAGTAAAGGAATCTGGATGCAATTTACCCAAATTTGAATTTATTGGACTAACACAGAAATTTTTTTTGTGAGATGATGTAGGTCCATCAGGCTTCACGTACTACGAAAAAGTCAGTGCTCACAATGAGGGCAAGTTTCCTTGACACATACTCAACAAGTCTCCTTCGCCGCCATTAGTTTTAATTATTATTCACAAAAGGGACTTCACTGCCCTACATTTTGTTAAAGTATGAATAATTATGACGTCCTGTCGTACGGAAATTGACTATTAGAACAGTCCTCCGTTAATTCTTCAAGATTAAATTAACGTAAAGGGGCGCTGATCGGATCTATTCTTACGGTATCTGGACAACCGTGACAATACAGTTCAAAGCAAAAACATTTAGACCTGGAAAAAACGAGAACAAAAGAAGCAGCCATTTACGACATCCGTAGGTCTCGCTGTCATATATGAGATTTATTGTAAAAAGAAAGAAAAGGAACACGGAAGTGCATATACGGTCTACCCCAATATATGTTTTACGATTCTAAAATATTTCCATAAGGTCGTAATACTAGCAATAATGATAAATATTGCATAAAACGTACAACAGTTTTTAAAGA